CCAATAATACTGACGAAACTGTTTACGGTGAAGTATATTTTCAGGGTCTTTAATCCAATAATACTGACGAAACTGTTTACGGTGAAGTATATTTTCAGGGTCTTTAATCCAATAATACTGACGAAACTGTTTAAACTGTCTATAAGGACAGTGATCCTCTGATATAGATAAACCTATAAAGTATGCTCATGTCATGAGAAACGAGAGCGTTAACCTTTATAGTTATGGATGATAATACCTATATCAAGTTCTACTAGCAAATCAGAAGAAGACCTCCGATATTTTAAAAACTGTTACGCGTATATTTCATAAGTTAGTCAACAGATGGAACCAGCTGTAAGGCCAAAGTTATAATGATTTTGTTGTTGTTAAATATCAATTTCAAATATTCTGTCAAAACTGGATTGTGTTTTCTAAAGAATATTTGTAGCTTATCACTTCTCAACTACAAATTATCTTATAATATAGTTGTTTCTTATGTTTAAATGACTGCACGTCTCCTACCAGACGAAATTAGAAACTTATTTTAGTGGCTAAAACACTCGATTTAATTAAATAATTAATAAATATAGAATTACCCCTCGTTTATATAAACCATTATGAACATTTCTTTATATATTTTATATTATTTCGGTTTCAAGATTGTCTTACAAACATAAAAAAATATTCACACTAAAATCATAGAAACTCTATAGTTTATTTGGTTTATATATTTAGAATAATATTGAACTTTATGCTGGATAAATACGCAGAGGTTGCTCTAGAGATCCATTCAAATGATACAAAACTAAAGATTTCAAACTTTTACAACTAGGAAACGTGGAGTGTTAACTAAAATAGGTTTCGTTACCACTGTATCAACGGTGTATATATATTATTTCTTAACTAGCATTCCAGGTTTTATATTGGATTAACACAAGTATGAAATATTTGTATTTCGTGCAAGTTTTTGAGAATTTACATTAACTTTAAAAATATGAGGTAGCGAGTTCGCTACACAGTGGCCACCTGCGCACAACCATTCATAATTTTGAACTAACAGACTAGAAGGAAAAACAGCTAAACACCACCATCATCTCTTGTTTGATGCAAGAGTAGAATTTGACTGTCTCTCTTATAGCGCACCAACTACTTAAGATTATTAAAATTTGTAATAACACTTAGAATGTGATAAATCTGGAATATTTTATTTCTTACTAGTACTTTCTTTTAATGAAATGTTAATTGATTATAATTAATCTGCAGTTATCAAGCTACAGCAGCGCCATCTTTTGACAACACATATCCTCATTTAAAAATGAGCAAACAATCGTTAATAGAAATTCACTCAGACAGAATTGTTCATTCTAATACTCTAATATTTGTTTATTTTTTAATATACCATCAAAGGTTTACATTACATATAATCGTTAACACTTCAGCAGCGATTACGAACACTAATTCATTAATAAATATATTATCCTGTACAAAACTTTAAAAAGGTACAACTTACTGCTACGTCGTATATCACACAAGTTTTTAAGAGCACAACATCAATGCCATGTTCCCTTGAACGTGATTTCTAAATTGCCGTAGTCAAAAAAAAAAAGTTAATTAATGTTGAAAAAATGTATAAGAAAACGAAGTGTTAACAATAGTACATCTTCCATTAAAGACAACAGATATTAACTGTTATCAAAAATCATAATAATGTTGACATTCTTAGAAGAAATACGATAAGTTATATCTTAGTGGCTACAACAATACTTCAATGTAAATGTTAGCGAACACCTTATATAAATTCAAATTTCTTACTAGCACGATTTATGAGTAATCATTTTGGTTTGTTTTTGAATTTCGCGCAAAGCT